TCCAAGCCGTGCTTCACGGTGTAAATTTAGCTGTATCGACGTATTTCAGTCTCTCTCTCTCTCTCTCTCTCTCTCTCTCTCTCTCTCTCTCTCTCTCCCTATTGCTTGAACTGCACCTTTGTTTTGTGAGTGATGGATAAGACTGAAGTAAAATATGAGGGTGATTAAGCAAGAGTTGTGCAGCATTTGCAACTCAAGTTGGTCATCATGAGTCAAAGAATATAGGGGTGTTACTATTACTAGACAGTGACATACAAAAGCAAAGACGGAATGGAGATATAAACGATACAGGTAGATATTTGATAGGAAAGAAGTAGCAAACCGTACCAGAACATCTGCCAGCCACCCACGTAATAAAGAGTCAACATTTCTGACGTCTTTTATATCTCGAATCCCGCCTGACAGAATGAAAATATTTACTTTAAAGGAGCCGTGATGTCAAGCGTTAAAATATTTAAAGTTTATTATGTGGTGCGACAGGTAATTTTAAAAGACCCCCCCCCCCCCTAAAACGACAAAAAATAAACAAAAACAACAACAAAGACAAACAGACAAATAAAGAATAACAACAAAAACAATACACCAATGCCACCGACAAAACAAAAAAATTAAACAAAAAAATGAAAATCAACAAACAACCAAAAACAAACAAAAAACAGCAACAATAAAAATACAACAACAAAAAGATCAAACAAATGAAAAAGAAATGAAAAACAATATAACAAGTAAACAAACAAACAAACAAAACAACACCAAAAACGCTGTGCAAAACAATAGCAACAACAACAACAACAACAACAACAACAACAACAACAACAACAACAACAACAACAACAACAGAAATCAAAGCCCAGTGCCTGTACAAAGTGCAAGGTCACTTTCGCGGTTGGCGTCAATGTGACCAACATGTGGCTCCACTGAGAGTGGAGACCCTGGGTGTGAAAAGTAAGTCAAGTGAGTTCCGAAAGGAGGGCCCAAGTAGACTTTGGAACATTCGAAAACAGAATGGAAAGGTCACAAACTTTTTAGTAAGACTTTTCCAGCACTTGCAACATAATTAGGTCATTTAAGTGCCGAGGATCAGACGTGTTACAAGAGAGTAACAAACACAGAAAAGAAGGAGGCAAGATATAAGACGATATATTTGACAGGAGTAAAGGAGCAAATCACACCGGAGTACTTTTTAACCACCCATGAAATCATAAACGTGTAGGGTATGGTGTTTCTCTCCTCTTATGTCCTTCTCTGTAAGGACCGGACCAAGTGGGTTGAGGGTTGAGAGACACGATAATTCACAAAACAACGAGTGCTCAAACACTCGGTTATGGATTCGAACAAGAGTCACCAACATAGTAGGCCAGCTAAGCGCGAAGAGACTAACATCGACACGATAATGGTCATTTACAGTAGGGGAAAAATAAGACAAACAGATAGATATCTTGACATAAACGAAAGATCGTAAGTATAGTAGACCTACAACCAGTGGGCGCCTCAACTGAGCAATCATTGCGTTTGGTTGACATGATGATAATAAAATGATTTAATGTTGTTGTGTGTTACCCAGTTTTGGATAAAGACACATAGACGAAAATAGAAGCATATAAAAATGAACCTGATGATGTCTATGTTGCAGGGCAAAATAGAGGCAAAGAGAAAATAAGGGAAGACATCCTACATCACTCATTAAAATTGTTAAATCAAAGTGTTCCACAACTCCATGAAATAATACATCAAAGCAGAGCCTATGGAAAATCGAGTCCTGTTCTGGCAAGGGGTAGGGCACCAATGGGCAAACACAGCGTGGTGGCAGATGATTTTTTTTCCCTTCAAAGTTTAATTCGTAACGGTTTTATTAATGGTTGTGTGGCAGTTTACGACGATTACAGTGACATTTCATCATGACAGATTAGGACAGCAATAACTGTGATGAGAGGAAAACGAGGCAGACCATACCACAAGGCAAACAATAATTGATCATCTGCGGCTTCTTGTTAACGTCCATCTTGACGTAGATCTCTCTCTCTCTCTCTCTCTCTCTCTCTCTCTCTCTCTCTCTCTCTCTCTCTCTCTCTCTCTCTCTCTCTCTCTCTCTCTCTCTCTTGCTGTCTCTCTTTCTCTACCCCCTCTCTCTCTCCCTCTCTCTCTTTCTCTCTCACTTACAATGTCGAATCTCTCTGTCTCTCTAGCTCTTTCTCTGTTGTCCCCCACCCCCACCCACCCCCTCTCTCTCTCTATCCTCTCTTTTTCTCCCGCTTTCTTTATTATCAATCTTTCTTGACGTCTCTTTCTGTCTCCCACCCGCTCTCCCTCTCTTTCTCTTTTTCCCTCTCTCTCCTTTCTCTCCTCCTCTCCCTCTCCATTCCCCTCACTCATCTGCCCACCACTACCACCACCGTCTCTCATCAGAACAAGAGCGTCTATTAAGTAATTTCTGGTTTTCCACCCTCCCCCTAATCCCCTCTTCCTTCCTCACACCATCCTCAATCCTCCCCC